CCCCAAAACCCCAAAACCCCAAGTAATAATCATAAACTTCAAAAAGTAGATTATGCAATTTGTACTAAAATTAGAAATATTATTCGAATAAATTTTTATTAATGAATCCTCTGAATCATTAAGAACTTAAAACTAATCAAATTAGCCATCTATCGGTAACATCATCATTGGCATTGAAGAATGATCTTGCCTTCCTGAGATTTATCTGAAATCTAATTTAGTGCTTGATCCCACTCTTCCAGTTTCATTTCCTTAGCAACCTTTGTACCGAAAATCATGCCACCGTTTTTGAGATCTTGAGCAATAATGTGGAAAAATTTGTGTTCGGTTTCATCATCTAATTCTTCTCTCAAATATCTATCAAAGAAGAAACCTCTGATTTTCTTGCTGTCATAATAGAAATTTGAGCAGGGTACTACAAGATCCTTCTCAGCCAGGTTTCCAATCAGAATCATCTCAGATTTTGCTGGAAGTCTGTCTAATATCTTGCCTGGAAGATCTCCACCCTGCATGCTAATATAGACGATCTTCTCGAATTTCTCAGCAGCTCCACAAAGCAGGTCGAAGAATTCTTTTTTGCTCTAATCCATGATTCTAGCTAGCCCAAACTCGGTTCTAAGTTAATCAAATTGCTTTGAATCCATAGCCAAAGGAATAATATCAATATTATCTTTCTAGAAAAGTTGAATTAACATTCTTCCTAGCGAGGTTGATGCAGAATCAATAACTACAGCGTTTGCCTTCAGATCACAGCAGATCTTTCTGAGACATAGGGCAGTCATTGGATTCACAATAGCATCGGCAGCGATTCTTAGATCCACAGATTCGTCCAAGAAAAGGAGGTCATCCTAATCTTTGACAACATACTGTGACCAACCATGGTGAATAAATGCAACCTTTCTGCCCTTGAGATTTTGGTCAAGTCCTTAAGCAACATCTTCTATGATTCCTGAACCCTCGGCACCCATCACATAATCTTCTTTAGATCTGTTCTCCATTAAGATTTTGTCGTACTAGTTGACTGAAGTGTAATGCACCTTGACAAGAACTTCGTTTTGCTCTAGCTTGTTGATGAAGTCTTGCTTTACTAGCTTGAAGCTGCCGTCCTTGAATCTGACCTGGTTGAATTGTCCTTTTTGCATCTGGTTTTAATTTTGATAATATATAATGATCAAAGATCTTAAATACTAATGTTTGAATTACTCACTTCTAGTGTTACTAATTGGGGTTTTGGGGTTTTGGGGTTTTGGGG